CTTATATATGCGTACCTTTTATTTTTTTCTATTGTTATTGCACTTACTTCTTTTACACCTTGTTCCGTTTATTATTGTATCTGCTTGTTTAATGTATCAACTAACTGTGTTTCTTTCCATTTTAACCGCCGCTTTTCGACAAATTTGTGTATTTAAACTTAAATATATTTTTAAATTTTGTAGATAATAATGTACTTATAGAGATATGTCTGACGAGTCTTATATCATACCTATGATCCGAACACAATAAATCTATCTATCATTCTGTATTCAAGTTTTTTTTCCTAATAATTTTCATCCAACATCAAATTCGTGGCCACTAACGAAATATATCACTGAAGTTAGGAGTGATAAGTCCATTTAACATTCCAATATAGCGTCCATATGGTTTTTTCCTACTGCACATATTTTTTTTACATATAGGTGTTACTTAATACCGCTGCCACAGGATTAATACGTAAAAACCTATATGTCAAAAAAATCGGTATAATGTCCAGTTGAGCACTAGGTAGCCGATAGAGTGCCACTAGTTCAAACCGCGCCTACTACAAGTGAGCATGAAGTGAGTGTCAGCTAGTTCAAAGTTGACTACATAATGTCATAACATATTAATATAGTTATTAGTTAGTTATTTAATACGGGTGCCGATCTCCAAATACCAAATGAACGTTCCGCACGGGTATCACGTATCTTGAAAAGTGACATTATGCCGACTTTTTTTGACATTATGCTATTTTTTTTTTACTTTATGTAGGTTATTCTACAAGATGTTAACTTAGGACTTAGTTGTACGTGTTACCTAAACTTCAGGAGGCTGGTTATCAATATTTGGCTCTGATGTGATGTAAGCTGTAAGTTGTATGTGTTGATTATAATTACATTGGGTTCTTGTCTCAAATATACTTAATTGAGATTCAAATCTAGAAATTAGTTGCACATCCACTTTTTCTTATCCATTCTGGAAATTACATATACAAATTAGATAAATTTCAAAAATGAGAAAGATAAATAATTATATTGACTGTACACTGTCGAATTACAAGCCATATATATGCTAACCGTAATTACACACAACGCGGGCGCGATGATGATTTCCCGTAATTCTCCTCAGTTTTTCGTAATTATTTATAACTTTGAACATAACCTCTCTTCAGAAAGTACAACATATGAATAACCCGTCATATTCAGTAATGACAATGACAATGTTAACTTGCTGCCTAAATAGTTTCACGTTTCCACGTTTGCTCCCTAAGAGGGTCATCAGAAGCGTCCATCTATGGAGGAATGACTCGACGACACGACACGCTCAATGACCATGCTGCAAGCTGCAAGTCGGTTCCCCATCATCCTTTGTTCGTTGCAGAATTCCGAGATAGTCTGTAGATATAGGATGAATGAATGAACGAATGAATCTTGAAATTAGAGGCATTCCGGCCACCATAAGGAGCCAGTGCATAGGCTGCTTAAGCGGGCCCTTTTGCACCTCTACAATCCTTAGATCACAAGCCTCGCCCATTTAGCGGAGTTGAGAATCGCCTTGAGTCCACGCTCCTTGACGTCCTGAGGGTCCAAAGTAATGGACCCCAGTATAGTCTGCCTATAGTAGCTCAGAGCTTCACAGCGACACAAAACGTGCGCCGAGGTCTCTTCCTCTACCCCGCAGCGTTCACACAAGGGATCCTCAGCCACCTCCATCACGTGCAGGTGACGCCTTAACGTGTTATGGCCAGACAACAGTCCCACCAGCAACCTTAGGTTGGCTCTATCCAGAGATATTCAGAAGCGTCCATCCTTAGCACTGGGCCCTTCAATGAGTTCCCGTGCCTGGCGGAGATGTCTGGAGATACTTCTCCATTTCTGAGAGTGTTGTTTTGCAACCCACGTCTCCATTTTCCTCCTAGCTTTATGCGCGGTCACTCCTAGAGCTGGCTCAGGACCAACGAGCTTGCTGGCTGATCCTGTCTTCGTCAGAGTGTCCGCCGTCTCATTGCCCCTTATCCCAGCGTGCCCCGGTACCCATATTAACGATACCGGATGCCTCGCTGCGAGGCAATCCAGAGCCTCCCTGCATTGCAATACAACACTCGAAGTAATCTTACAGGCACTTAGTGCTTTCATTGCAGCCTGGCTGTCGGATAAGATTGTTATTCTTCTCCTAGGCCCACCCTCCTCCAGAATGTGAGATACACAACCCAGAATCGCAAAGATTTCCGCCTGGAAAATAGTGGTGTATCCACCGAGAGGCAGAGATAGCCTACTTCTAGGCCCAGAGGCCCCAGCACCTGAGCCCTCTTCGGTGACCGAGCCCTCCGTGTACCAGACCTGCCCGCTCAATCCGGAGAGTCCCCGGCTACCGGCGTCCCACTCCTGCCTCGTTGGATACTCCACAATAAACTTGCGGTTGAAGCGATATTTAGGGGTAATACAAACACCCCTGCTTAGAAGGACGGGGTCCTCCCTTTGCAATTCGACTAAGATGGTAGTATGCCCCTTGACAGGATTCAAGAAAGCCCAGCTGCCCTGACTCCACAGTCGATGAGCGACTACTCTCGCTTCACCGCGGATCACCAGATCTAACGGTGGGAGATCCAACAGAGCTTCCATTGCACTCAATGGCGTTATTCGCACTGCGCTTGTAATACTAATACAGGCCAAACGCTGAATTTTATTGAGTTTGGCCTTAGTTGTCTCAGTTCTAATGCAAGGCCACCAGACCAGGGAGCCGTACAAGAGAGATGGACGTACTATCGTCGTGTAGAGCCAGTATACCACTTTGGGTTTAAGCCCCCATCTTACACCGATAACACGTCACAGGCCCACATCGAATTGCGAGCCTTGCTAACCTTGTATTCAACATGCTCTCCAGTTCAGTTTGCAATCCAGGATAATTCCCAGATATTTCACTGACTGGGACAAAATTAATCTAGTCCCAAAGAAGGTCGGCATGACCAGCCCGTCAAGCCTTCTTCTCCTAGTGAATAGGATCAGCTCGGTCTTTTAAGCATTAACAGAAAGATCGACTTCCCTACACCACGATTCCACGGAGCGCAGAGACTGTTCTACAAAAACGCCCCCTAACTACTATGCTTACGTCATCAGCATAGGCTTGCACGTAGACACCCATACTGCTGAGCCTAACGAGGAGTTCGTTCACCACGATACACCACAGTAGGGGTGACAGAACTCCGCCCTGAGGGCAGCCTCTAGCTACGCTCACGCTCCAGCTTACGTCATTCAGCATAGCTGTTGCTACCCGACCCTCCAGAGTAGATAGAACCCAATCTATTAGGATTGATCCAACCCCGTATCTAACCAAGGCATGTCTGATAGAGTCGGTTGTGGTGCAATTAGATGCACCTTCAATGTCCAAAAAGGCCACGAGTGCCACTTCTCGCTGATCTAGAGTCTTCTCCAGCCTACCGACCAGATTTTGTAAGGCCAGATCAGTCGATTTTCCAGCTTGGTATGCAAACTGATTTGCATGAATGACACACCTTTCCAGCGGGCCATCCCTTAAGTATCTATCAACTATCCTTTCCAGTGTCTTAAGCACAAAAGATGAAAGAGTAATCGGACGAAAATCCTGAATACCACTTTAGCCTGCCGCCAGCTTCTAGGTGTGAAGCCCGTGGCCACACATGCTCGAAACACATTCAATAGGTGAGGAACAACCGAACTCCGTCCCTGCTGTAACATGGTCGAAAATACGCCGTCCAGACCTGGACTTTTGTATGGAGCAAACGAATCTACTGCCCATACCGTCCTTTCGAAGGTGACAATCTCCCTAGCCGTGCGCCAGTCCTCCCCTGAGGGCCTGCGCAACTGCGTGCACTCTGTGATTGATCACGCTACTGTGGAACCGGGAAAGTGCGTATCCATCAGAAGCCTCAGAGTACCTTTCTCAGAAGTAGTATTCCCTCCCGAAGGATCATGCAGCGATCCCAATAAATATATATATAGATATAGGATACTCTGAGAAGATGTGCGGTTGAGTAGCAGAGTGTAGCAAGATAGCACCTGGATGATTGTGTCTTGGTCTGCATATGTAAAATTATTACCGAATATGCTGCTAATGAAATACATTTGTTACCTGTGCCAGACGGGTTATTTGTGCTGTCCTTTCTATGTTCAAAGTTATACATTTTCACCGATTTTGTTTTTACGTTTTCAAAAGCTTTGAGAAGCATTACGGGAAATCAGCACCGCACCCGCGTTGTGTGTAATTAAGCCACATCACAGAAAAAATAGGAGTGACGTATCACATACAAAACATTTTCGCCCGGCCTCATGTCTAGGCGCTGATTTGTATTTTCTACTTGACATCATAAATAAGTTACTATAAAATCTTAATGACTGGAAATAAAAATTAATGTGAAATGAAATAACTTTTTTAAATTTCATAAATATTCCTGCATGTACCCTCTATCTTCTCACCTTTTAATTTTAATATAGTACTTCACTAACCAGGGATGTCCTTTTCTTATCGCTCTCTTTTTGAAATTCAGCAAATTTGCATAGTAATTTCCAGGTTGAATAAAAAAAAGCGGATGCGCAACTAATTTTTAGCTTTGCATAGTAAGACCTCCTAATATAATGCCATCCCTGAAGCAGATTTTACATCACATCGGAACCAAACATTGATAACTGAAGGATCATGACGTTTAGGCAACACGTACACCTACAGAACGAGTACACAACACGTGTAAAACAGCTAGTGCTAAGTTGACATCTTGTAGAAAAACCTATATAATGTCAAAAAAAAACAGGTAATGTCATTTTTCAAGATACGTAATACCCCGCGGGACAGCCAGCTTGATGGAACGTCTTTGACTAATACCAACCTCCAAGCTTCAACCCCTACTTCTGCTTGTTAATTGGAGGTGACCATGGGTAGCTTATCGAAATCGCAGTGGTTTAGCTCGCATTTATTTTTTTTTTTGCGCTACTACTATGCAGGATCAGCTATTGCTGAAGTAAAGAAGGGCAAAAATAAAAACAACTATAGATAAATGAAGTTAATATATTTTTGACTCAAATAGGTAGGGGAGAGTGGGGCTATACCGTACAACGAGGCTAAACCATACACCCGTTTTTCGTCTTTAGATTATTAGCTAGACGAGTCCGATCGGTGTCGCAACCTAGCGGCAGAACGCGCAATTTTGCAGGATTGAGTTCGTTCCGTTGTGAGTAAAAGTACCAGTGTGACGGTGAAAAAACTTGTTTTTTTTTATGTTCTCTTATAATTTTGGGGCAGTGCCAAATAAGAGGTGAGTGGAGAACCTTTACTTATAAGCTAGTAACCATAAGATCATAAGAAACTATTTTTCTTAAGCTCTTTTTTGATCACGAGTGATGATTAGTTTGACGGTAGAATTTGTGGTTAGGTTATTAAACTCCCACGAGCTACAGGATGGGGCTAAACCGTACAGAAGTGTACGGTATAGCCTCGTTTCTGTACGACTTAGCCCCAAATGGTTTAATATGGCAAGATTGATGGATTGAAATTTATGAAGAAAATATCATGAACAATATAGTTTTATACTCCACCCCTCCCCCCATTAGTATTTGTAGCCTATTAAAAACATAACTTGCCAGCCATAACATTAAGGTTTTTTTACAGATGGTCCGAAAATATGAAAGGACAACCCAAAAAGCCAAATGGACGGAAGAAGCAATGACGTCATAAATAACGTGAAAAAACTAAGAGAAGCAGCCAGGGCTTATAATATTCCAGTTATGACCTTGAGTGATAGACTTAAGACTCGTGACTAAAAAGTTAGCTTTAGGGCAGCAACCTGTATTCACACCAGAGCAAGAAAATGAAATTGCAGAACAAGTTTTACTTCTAGCTAAAGTGTTTTACGGCATTTCCTCAGTTGAGCTTCGCCGCTTAGTGTTTGAGTATGCTGAGAAAAATGGCATTCCACACCAATTTAACAAATCAGCTAAATTAGCGGGGCAAGATTGGTTAATGGATTTTTGAAGCGGAACCTAAGAATCAGCATTCGCAAACCAGAAGCAACAAGAATACGTCGAATAACTGCGTTCAATAAAGAAGAAGTGGATCTTTTTTTCTCCAACCTCAACTGTGAAATGGACAAACACGAGTTTACGACATCAAGAATATATAATTTTGATGAGACGGGGATCTCCACGGTCCAAAAACCAGGAAAGATTTTAGGCCCGAAAGGAATTAAGCAAGTGGGTGCTGCTACAAGCTGGGAACGGGGGAAAAATATCACTGTGGGCTGTGCAATGAGTGCTGCTGGTGAATATATTCCACCAATGGTTATCTACCCTCGCCAAAGAATGAGCCCTAATTTGGCAAAAGCTGGACCACCAAATGCAATTTACCATTGCAGTCATAACGGGTGGATAACTGAAGTGTTATATGTCACCTGGATACACCATTTTATTTTCCATGCTAAGCCAACTAAAGAGCAGCCTGTGCTTCTCGTAATGGACAAAACCACTACCTTAACAGCGTACAATGTTTGCAAGGAGAATGGAATAATTGTGATGATACTGCCGCCACACTCGTCACATCGCCTTCAGCCATTAAACATCACTTTATTTAGCAGCCTAAAAGCAGCATTTAACAAGGAATGTGACAATTTTCTTAGGTCACACCATCATGAGAAGATAACATCTTACGATATCGCTGCTATTTTATATTTATTTTAGTTTACATTTATATAAAAATATGAACCATACAACTATTAATCATAACAAGTGATGTGTCCTAACATGCTTTTTAAATTTCGTTATAAAAACAGTCATATAATAACATTTCTCACACTTAAAAATTTTATAAGTAACAGTCTTCGTCAGTTCATCACAGTTACGATGGCGAATTAAAATATGATCATCTAAATACTTCTTTCTTGACCAAGAACCCACGCAGACGGGGCAACAGTAGTTTGTTTTAACCTTAGCATGACTTTTCAAATGTGCGTTGAATTTGGCTTTAAAACTAGTGACATATTTATCACATACATGGCAAGTATAAACCGGAGCATCGCTTGGATAATGTTTTTTTCTCTCCATGTGTTGAGACAAGCCACTTTTGTAGGTACTCTTGAACATACATTGGTTACATTCCCATATTTTACTAGAAACAGTATGAATAAATTTGGGATGATGCTTGATTACATGATCTTCAATAGCTCTTTTTTCTTTCAGACGTTTACCGCAATGAACGCAGACAAATTTTCCATCTCCATGTATTCTTGAAATATGAGCTTTTAAGTCATTCTTACGGATCGTACTATGGCTACACATGTTACAGCAGTATATTTTTTTAGTTCTACTGTGTTTGTACATATGACTAATAAGGTCGTACTTTCGAAATGTTTTGTAATCACAGTTGTAGCAATAGAAGATTTTTTTGCCGGATTTGTCGTGAACAAGCTGATGAACTACCAGATTTTGAGGATACTTTGTTTTGTGAGAACAAACATTGCACTTGTACCATTCTTCCTTTTGAATATCCTCCTGCGTGCGACAGTAGGGTCTAAAAAATATCAGTTAATAATTGACAAAATAAAAAATTGCGTCAAGTAGAGTGACTCTATACTTCCCACGCCTTCAAACAAACTCGCAAATTTGGTGGTATGTTCAATTATATAAAATAAATTTATCACATTTTTGTTTCAATTGTGGATGTATGGAAAATATGTGTTATATTAATATCTTTTCAATAACAGAACGTCCTTCACTGATACCAGAAATACAACATGTACGACCATTCACCCCCTACAACTTCAAACCCCAACTTTCGACCAACCTATAAAATTTCTGAATATGAGAAGGGATATTAGAAACGTCGAAACACGATGTTTCAGCGATGTTTGTTTTTCTTCCGTTACCCCGCCATCACTGATTCAATTTTTAAGGCCTACAAAGCTTTTTCGTTCCTAGCATAGAAGTCACCTCGAGTCAAAATATTATTAAAGGTGTAATATCTGGAAATTAAATGACTAGGAGCCTCTGAAATTTTTCGCTTTTTCATCCTTGGCATAGCAGAAACCGTGTGTAAAAATTTTGTCAAAAGGCGAACAGACTGTCGGAAATGAATGTGATATACACATTGTACATGTCATATAACATCCAAAAAACATATCTCATTTTCGAAATTTTTCGTGATTACAATACTTCTTCGCCAGTGTGGTGTGGGAAGTAAAAAGCCAGGTCTGCTTGGCAACCGTTAATATCTCAAAAGTAGTTTTTATGGAATTTCGACAAAAAGCGGTATTTTTTAAACAAATGTATTGTTGCCAACAACGAGGTGACCACGTTACGTCTTGAGACTCAATACTTACGTGTTACAAACTATCTAACTTGTCCTTCGTAGGTGTAAATGGCTCCTAAAACTTTTCGGCGGTAACGTGGTCCAATTAATGCCGGCAACAATAAGATTTACCATTGTCAGCCAAAATTAGAATTTAAAACTGGAATCTTATATTTACCTACCTACAGTTAGGTTCATAATGTGGTTTATCTCTGTAATTATTATTATCGCTAGATATATTATTATCGCCCACATCAATGACTTCGTTCTCGGAATCTGTATTACATTCTGACTTGATATGTAACTCCATATAGTCAAGTTCCAATGCTTCACAATTTGCATTGATTTCAGTCTTGTTTTCTTCAAAGCTACCATCTTCTTTTATATCTATGAATTGCAACGCTTCATATTTCCTGAAACCATTAAATAACATAATAAAAATACGTTATAGACCAAACATTGGAACGTTAAAAGTGTACGACCATTGAGGGAAAGGAGAACGATTTGTGTCTCGTGAAAATATCAATGACAATGAAGTCAGATAGAGACAACCATATGCCATCGCTCCAAATTTCACATTACTAACTTGACCGGCAGGGTTTTTACGTAACAAGCCTTTATAATGTCATCAACAAAAAACTGATAGAATGTTAACTTGTTGACTAGGTAGGCTAGTGTGCAAATAGTTCATTCCGCGCTTGCTACAAGTGACCATAAGTGAACGACAGGTAGTTCCAAAATGACATATTGCAGGAAAACCTTTATAACAATAATGTCAAAAATAAAACAACATAACGCCACGTTACAAGTTCGATATAATGCCGTTAAAAATTGGTTCCACATCTGAAATATATATATATATATATATTAAATCACATCAGAACCAAATCATATAGCTCAAGTGCCATGACGTTTATACAACACGTTCAGCTAGTACAAGTAAACATAAAGTGAATGTCAGCTATAGTGCCAGAGTGCCAATTTTTCGGAAAAACCTACATAATGACATTTAAAAATCGATATAATATTACATTTTGAATTACATGATACGTGTGCCGTTCAGAAAATGAAACCACTGCATATGCATACATACATAGCCTGGTATTCTTCTACTTTAACGGTGTAGAGGAGTCACACTGCTTGTGATCATTCCCCAGCGCGTCAATGGGCATTCACCTTCAAACTGAGATTTCTGGGATATTCTGCAGCACAAGCGGCTACCATGTGAGCAGAGTGAATATAAGAAAAAACACACCAATATCTATATAAAAGGCGACTTTAAAAAATCATCGCTCAATCTGATAAGGTCAAGCCGCGTACAGACCGAAAATCCAACGCCGAGCAAACGAATGCAAGCACGTCTCGTTGGTGTTTGTTGTTGGAAGGTATTGGAATGCACTCGCCTACACCTAAATTTAGTTTCGAGTTGGGTTAAATTCGGTGCTAATGTCGAGCGACGATTCTCCTCTCATGGAATGCAGACAAACGACTAAATACTAGAAGTCAACAAATCCTGTCCAGACCAAATTAAACCTCCCTTTGATGTACCGATCAAGGAGCGAACGCAATCGAATGCCAACGCTACCTGGGAAACCGTTGGTTTATGATGGCTCACGACGTACACATCGATTCAAACACCTCCAAATCTGTAACCACATATGTGCCTTGGCCTGCGTTGGAATCTCGGTCTGTACGCGACTTTACAGGGATACAAAGAAACCTCAAAACCAGCAAACTATTTGCATTGTAGATAATACATGTCTGGGATTGAGAATAAGAAAAATTACTTGAATAACTGCCAGTATACCCGCTGCTGATGGTTACGTTCAATTTCACCTAGCTGCTCTTAAGTAGCTCTGCGTGAAAAAAGGCTATCCTGCTAGTTGTTATCTGTTATCGTAGCAATTAGGTGCAACTGAATCATTCTCAAGGTTTTCAAAATTCTCAAACCGTTCCATTCAAATAACATTTACAGGTCTTTCTATTTCAATTACTTTTATAAATCAATCTCCCCCACACACAATATTAGCCTCTATGTACGGACGTTTATTTGTGTAAGCTCGGAGACATACGTTTTTTAAGTATGTCTTATCGCCATGAACATTTATGCCTGTCAATGTCGGTACGGCAGTTTGCTTTTCATGGGTGTGTGATTGCGTTTACTCATGTTGATATTCGATATAAAACATGGTATTGCCTGAAGATAGAACTACAATGCCGTATTAGAAGTATTTTCAGAAAATGAGTGAAAGCAATGGTCCTCTATCTTTCACTCCATGTGTACGTGCAAGAGCAAGTAGCAGTTGCATTACGGACAGACTTGCGCAGAGTGAATTTTCGCTAACAAAAGTTATGCGACGAATGGCATAGTGACGTAACCGCAAAACAACGTGCAAAGAAGCCATAATTCATGAAACGTTAACTCATAACAGCTCGATGCAACTGAACGTAATCATTGATCCAGACGGAACAGCAAGTCGTATGGGTGAAGCCGGTGTCATGCGACATAAACAGCAAATAATCGCGCGTTTCAACAAGCTTCTTTTCGCAGCGCGACAATGTAACGCCCGTATGTACCGGCAGTAAGTGGATAAATTAATAGGTCAAAGAAATAAGCAAATAAATACCAAAACAACCGCATCTGAACCGTACCCCTATCACGTCAAAGACTGAAATAAACTAACCTCTTTGCTTCTATGAATTCAACAAAAATATCATCTTGGTCTTCGTCCCCACAAACATCTATGATTTCGTCTTCAGATGATTCTTCTTTTATATTAATTTCAAATAGATTCGAATCCATATTTTCCCAATGTTCCGCTTAGGTTATCGACTGGAAAATTTGTATTGCCCATCAAAGTTTTTCCTGTAAAGGTATTTCCTCATTACACCAAATTATACTAGCATTATACTAGGATGATATTATACCGGTGTGAAGTTAGCAGCCAAATTCTAGCAGACAATCCCGAAGTTACCCGAACGAACAGCGGCGTCTGTCAGAAGGAATAATATGCTCTTATAACACTAGTTAGGGACACAATTATGGCCAGAATAAAATAGTTGAGAGAAGTTTTAGGGGTAGCAGGCAAAAACAAGATAAAAAATCGATTTCAACCCTTAGGGAATAGGTGTCCTCGACGAAATGTATCCCGAAAAATTACTCACATATTAAGACAATTTATTAGCTAGATCAAATTTACTGAGCGAACTTCTAACGGGATAGCAGCCAAAAACCAGATAATAAAAAAATCGATTTCAACCCTTAGTGAATGGGTGTCTTCGATAAAAAGTATCTCGAAAAATTATTCATATATTAAGACAATTTATGGTCCAGATCAAATTTACTGAGCGAACTTCTAAAGGGGTAGCAGCCAAAAACCAGATAACAAAAAAACGATTTCAACCCTCAGGGAATGGGTGTCCTCAATGAAAAGTATCTCAAAAAATTATTCATATATTAAGACAATTCATGGTCCACATCAAATTTACTGAGCGAACTTCTGAAGGGGTAGCAGCCAAAAACCAGATAATAAAAAATCAATTTCACAATTAGGGACTGGGTGTCCTCGATGAAATGTATTCCAAAAACTTACTCGCATATTGAGACAATTTATGGGCCAGATCAAATTTACTGAGCGAACTTCTAAAGGGGTAGCAGCCAAAAACCAGATAACAAAAAAACGATTTCAACCCTCAGGGAATGGGTGTCCTCAATGAAAAGTATCTCAAAAAATTATTCATATATTAAGACAATTCATGGTCCACATCAAATTTACTGAGCGAACTTCTGAAGGGGTAGCAGCCAAAAACCAGATAATAAAAAATCAATTTCACAATTAGGGACTGGGTGTCCTCGATGAAATGTATTCCAAAAACTTACTCGCATATAGAGACAATTTATGGGCCAGATCAAATTTATTGAGCGAACTTCTAAATCGGTAGCAGCCAAAAACCAAATAATAACAAAATCGATATCAATCCTTAGGGAATCGGTGTCCTCGATAAAAAGTATCTTGAAACATTATTCATATTTCAGGACAATTTATAGGCTAGATCAAATTTACTGAGCGAACTTCTGAAGGGGTAGCAGCCAAAAACCAGATAATAAAAAATCGATTTCAACCCTTAGGGAGTGGGTGTCCTCGATAAAAAGTATCTTGAAAAATTATTCATATCAGATCAAATTTACTGAGCGGACTTCTAAAGGGGTAGCAGCCAAAAACCAGATAATAAAAAAATCGATTTCTATCCTTATCGAATGGGTGTCCTTGGTTAAAATTATCTCGAAAAATTATTCATATTTTAAAACAATTTATGGGCTAGATCAAATTTACTGAGCGAACTTCTAAAGGGAATGGGTGTCCTCGATGAAAAGTATCCCGAAAATTTATTCATATATTAAGACAGTTTATTGGCTAGATCAAATTTACTGAGCGAACTTTTAAAGGGGTAGCAGCCAAAAACCAGGTAATAAAAAAATCGATTTCAACCCTTAGTGAATGGGTGTCTTCGATAAAAAGTATCTCGATAAATTATTCATATATTAAGACAATTTATGGTCCAGATCAAATTTACTGAGCGAACTTCTAAAGGGGTAGCAGCCAAAAACCAGATAACAAAAAAACGATTTCAACCCTTAGGGAATGAGTGTCCTCGATGAAAAGTATCTCGAAAAATTATTCATATATTAAGACAATTTATAGGCCAGACCAAATTCACTGTGAGGACTTCTAAAGGGGTAGAAGGCAAAAACCAGATAACAAAAAAAATCGATTTCAACCCTTAGGGAATGGGTGTCTTCGATGAAAAGTATCTCGAAAAATTATTCATATTGTATTAAGACAATTTATCGGCCAGATCAAATTTACTGAGCGGACTTCAACAGGGGTAGCAGCCAAAAACCAGATAATTAAAAAAATCGATTTCAACCCTTAGGGAATGGGTGTCCTCAATGAAATGTATCCTGAAAAATTACACACATATTAAGACAATTTATGGGCCAGATAAAATTTACTTATTTTTGGCTGCTACTCCTTTAGAAGTTCGCTTAGTAAATTTGATCTAGCCCATAAATTGTCTTAAAATATGAATAATTTTTCGAGATACTTTTTATCGAGGACACCCATTCCCTAAGGGTTGAAATCGATTTTTTTATTATCTGGTTTTTGGCTGCTACCCCTTTAGAAGTCCGCTCAGTAAATTTGATTTGGCCCATAAATTGTCTTAAAATATTTATGGGCTAGATCAAATTTACTGAGCGAAATTCTAAAGGGAATGGGTGTCCTCGATGAAAAGTATCCCGAAAATTTATTCATATATTAAGACAGTTTATTGGCTAGATCAAATTTACTGAGCGAACTTTTAAAGGGGTAGCAGCCAAAAACCAGGTAATAAAAAAATCGATTTCAACCCTTAGTGAATGGGTGTCTTCGATAAAAAGTATCTCGATAAATTATTCATATATTAAGACAATTTATGGTCCAGATCAAATTTACTGAGCGAACTTCTAAAGGGGTAGCAGCCAAAAACCAGATAACAAAAAAACGATTTCAACCCTTAGGGAATGAGTGTCCTCGATGAAAAGTATCTCGAAAAATTATTCATATATTAAGACAATTTATAGGCCAGACCAAATTCACTGTGAGGACTTCTAAAGGGGTAGAAGGCAAAAACCAGATAACAAAAAAAATCGATTTCAACCCTTAGGGAATGGGTGTCTTCGATGAAAAGTATCTCGAAAAATTATTCATATTGTATTAAGACAATTTATCGGCCAGATCAAATTTACTGAGCGGACTTCAACAGGGGTAGCAGCCAAAAACCAGATAATTAAAAAAAATCGATTTCAACCCTTAGGGAATGGGTGTCCTCAATGAAATGTATCCTGAAAAATTACACACATATTAAGACAATTTATGGGCCAGATAAAATTTACTTATTTTTGGCTGCTACTCCTTTAGAAGTTCGCTTAGTAAATTTGATCTAGCCCATAAATTGTCTTAAAATATGAATAATTTTTCGAGATACTTTTTATCGAGGACACCCATTCCCTAAGGGTTGAAATCGATTTTTTTATTATCTGGTGTTTGGCTGCTACCCCTTTAGAAGTCCGCTCAGTAAATTTGATTTGGCCCATAAATTGTCTTAAAATATAGATAATTTTTCGAGGTACTTTTTATCGAGGACACCCATTCCGTAAGGGTTGAAATCGATTTTTTTGTTATCTGGTTTTTGGCTGCTACCCCTTTATAAGTGCGCTCAGTAAATTTGACCTGGCTCATAAATTGGCTAATTATATGAATAATTTTTCGAGATACTTTTCATCGAGGATACCCATTCCCTAAGGGTTGAAATCGATTTTTTTGTTATCTGGTTTTTTATGCTACCCGTTTAGAAGTCCGCTCAGTAAATTTGATCTAGCCAATAAATTGTCTTAATACATATGTGAGTAATTTTTCGGGATACATTTCATCGAGGACACCCATTCCCTAAGTTTTTTTAACGGACTGAATAGAATCTGTTCGCTTTTTGTCTGACCATAACCAACCGTATAGAACGTTGTTTCATACTTTTTGGCAATTATCGATACGATATAGGTCTAGTCATTTGGACTCAGGTAACGAAGAGCAGACAAGAGAAAATGGGTATATTCAAAAACTCAATATTGTGACCATAGCCATGATCACTCTTGTTTTAAGGACTCCCTCTTGGGGAGCTGCTATATATATTTTAATAGGTTACTTTGGGTTCGAATGCTGACATCGCCATGGCGCACCGCAGGGTTATTATTTAATATCAGAAAACCCACAACTGATTTCAACTTGTTGACTCGATAACAGGTAGTATGCAAATAGTTAATTCCGTGCCTGCTACAATTGATTATGAAGTGAACGACAGCTAATTCCTAGTTGATATCCTACAAAATATGATGAAAAACCTACATGTCAAAAAAAAAACCGAAATAATGTAACTTTTCAATATTACACTGAAATCAAATTCAAGCAAAATAACCAAATCAAAATGGTAATTACCATTTTGGATTGGTATTTACCGACGCACGGGTATCATTTAAAAATTTATAAAACGTCAAAAAAACCTATAAGATGTCAACTTGCAGACTAGGTAGTCTTTAGGGCGCAAACAGTAATTCTACGGTTGCTCACTAGGATCGTTGTGAACGTCCATCTATGGAGGATTCACTACTAAACTACGCATTATTGGTTGCATAGTTTTGTGAGGCTGAGTGATCTGGGTCTGTAGTTTGTATCTCTCAGATGCAGTTTGGTTGAATAGGAAGATCGAAATCTGGATGATTATGTGTAATGGTCTGCATGTGTATAAAATCAGTGATGTTTGATGTGTGAGAAAATCATTACTGAATATGCCGAATATAACGGGTTATTTATATGTTGTGCTTTCTGAAGATAGGCTATGTTCAAAGTTATAAATTACGAAAAACTGAAGAGAATTACGGGGAATCATCACCACGCCCGCGTTGTGTGTAATTACTGTTAGCATGTATATGGCTTGTACTTCGACAGTGTACAGTGAATATAATTATTTCTTATCTCTCTCATTTTTGAAATTCAGCAAATTTGTATATGTAATTTCCAGAATGGATAAGAAAAAGTGGATGCGCAACTAATTTCTAGCTTTGAATCTCAATTAAGTGTATTTGCGACAAGAACCCAATGTAATTATCATCAACACATACAACTTACAGTTTAGGCCTCCAGTAATGCCATCCCAGAAGCAGATTTTACATCACATCAGAGCCAAAGATTGATAACAAGCCTCATGACCTTTAGGCAACACGTACAACTAAGTGCTAAGGCTAAGTTAACATCACAAAACATATACACTGAA